CTCACCGCGGCGGCGGCGCGAGAGCACTCGGCGCGGTTCGGGCCGCAAGACAGCGCGAGCGCGGTTGCGGTGTGGCGCGCCAGCAACTATCTGGTCGAAAGCGGCGGCGCCCCCGCCGCGACCGCGCCGCGCCAGCATGCGGCGCCGCCCCACCACCTCCGCCTGGCCGTCCCCCGTGACGGCGGCAGCCCCCCCGGCCGCGGCAGCCCCAGCCCCAGCGCGGGCGCCGCCGTGGCCGCGGCGGCCGCGAGGCCGCCGGCGTCGCCGCTGGCCGGCGGGCGGAGGGAGCAGCGGCTGCGGCGGTCGCTGCAGGACCTTCGGGGCACGCGCAGCGAGACCTCGGCGGCGTCGAGCGCCGTGGACGAGCCCGCCGCCTTGAGCCCCAGCATGCGGCCGCTCTGCGGCGCCCCGCTGGCGCCGGAGCCCTCCTTCGAGGCGGCGGCCCGCTTCATGCGCCGCGGGACGGGCGGCGGCGGCAGCGGCGGCGGCTGGGGCCGGAGCGGCGGCGGCAGCTTCACGGGGGGCGGGAGCGCCGGGGGCGCGGGGGAGGCGGAGGCGGAGGTGTCGTTCGCCGGGAACCTGCGGCAGCCGCCGGGGCTGCACTCGCCGTCGCGGCTGACGCAGTCGCAGCCGTCGCCCTCCCAGCAGCAGCAGCAGCAGCAGAAGGCGGCGGCAGAGGCGGTGGCGGCCGCGGCGGCTGCAGCAGCGGCTGCCGTCGCGGAGCGCCCCGAGGACGCGCCCCCTCGGCCGCCCTCCCGCGCGCTGGGCATCTCGCTCGCGCCCACGCCGCCCTCGCCCGCGGCCGCGGCGCCGCTCGCGCTCGACGCGTTCTGGCCGGCAGGCGCGCTGTCCAGCGGCGGCTCGTCGGATGAGGAGGCGGAGCTGTCCACCGGCAGCCTGGTGGCCCTCGTGCCTCCCGCCAGCGCGCGCAGCGACGCGGCGTCCTGCGCGACGACGCGCCCGCCCAGCGCCCGCACGCCGCCCGAGCGGCGCGAGAGCTGCGGCAGCCTGCCGCCGATCGAGCAGGCGACGTCGCCGGTCGTGCCGCCGTCGGGCGGCGCGCGGGGCGGGGCCGCAGGGGCGGTGCGTGGGATCCTGCGGAGCGGCGGCAGCGGCGGTGGCGCCGGCGGCAGGCGGGGGGACGGGAGCGGGGCCGAGCGGCGGCGGGTCTCGCTCGAGGGCGGCGGCGCGCAGGGCGGCGCTGTCGGGCAGGCCGAGCTGGGGAAGATCGCGGCCAAGGTGCAGCGCGTGGCAGCGGCGCTGAGGCCGCGGCGCGGCATCCCAGCGGGCTTCATAAGCGCCGGGGCCGGCGGCGGCGGCGGCGGCGGTAACGGGACCGGCGGCGGCCGCGGCAGCAGCTACAGCGGCGGCAGCGGCAGCGCGGCAGCGGCGAAGCGGTGGGGCGTCGTGCGGAGGGCGCTGGAGAGCGGGCGGCTGCTGCGGCTGCCGTACGATGCCAACAACTACAGCATCGTCACCAGCACGTTCAAGTGAGCCCGGGGTTTGAACCAAGGGAATTTTGACGCCCTCTCAGTGCAGTCTGATAGCGTGCAAAAGCTGGGCCTCGGCCAGCCTCACTCTCACCGCGCACTGGCGCCCGCGCGCAAGATGTGCCGGCCGCGCTGCGTGGGGCGTTTGGTTGGCTCCTGCAAACCGCAACCTGCCCCCTTGGCGCCCGCCCCCAGGCGCCTGTTCCCTCGCGACTACGACTCGGCGATTCCTGTGATCAAGCACAAGGAGGTGGACAAGCTGCTGATGCAGGTACACACGGGGATTGTGGGAGCACTGTGGGCTGGTTTGTGTGAGCGCTTGCTGCAACACGGCACGAGGAGTCAAAGCGTCCCAGCTGACAGCCCCTGCCATCGCCCTCCCACACACTGCGGCAGTGGGAGGCCGCCGTGGCCAGGCTCGAGCGCGCGGAGCTGACGCGGCAGCGCTCGGGGGAGCCGCCCACCAAGCGCACGGCCTGGTGGGGCGGGGCCAGGGTGGAGGTCATCCCGCTGCTGCAGGTGCGCGCGGCGCCGCGGTCGGGGAGGCGCGCGACTTTTGGCACGCCCGTGCAAGCTTGGGGGGCGAAGCTCTCGCAGCGGGCCGCTCCATGCGCCGCCGCCGCACGCCGCACGAACGGCCGCTTTCACCGGCAGGCGAGCTGCGCTGCGTCATTCGCTGATCTGAGCTTGTGTCAATCCCGATGTAACCTTGCGGTCGGTAGGGATCTGGCCCCTCCACCGACCCCACCCCACCGC